GTAACATATATAATATATATTGTTAAAAAGACCTACGTAAAAAGCTATATCGTGTATAATCAACTTTGCAATTCAATGTAGATGTATGAATTAGAATTACACACCATGGAAAATCTAATATCCATTTTCATTTAAGTTAAAAAATTTGGTAAAATTACTAGTACAAACAAAAAATATTTAATTTACCAAACGTATTACTCAATTTTTCTATCGGCTTCCTATTAACAATAACATCAAAATTTGTTAAACTCTTTTCTCTATTAACAATACACTTATATTTTGGATGACCTAAAATATAATACATTTTCAATAAAATTTAAAAATCTATTTCATTTAAAAAATATATACATTATAATTGTTACCATTATGTATTGCAGTTATAAATCTTTCAACCTTTTCTTTGTCTGTACTTATGCACAGAAAATCATCAAGAAAACGTAACATTACTTATAAATTCAATCTTTAGCAAGAAGAAACATTAAACCTTTTAAAATTGATCTATTTACTTACGCCATCATCATGCTTAATAAAAGGAAACACTTTCCATTCCATCTCACCATAATAAAAGCTAAAAATTGTTATAAGTCATCATTGTATATATATGTATCAAGAAAAAAACAATTATCAATAGTGCCAATACAAACCTACAAAGCAGTGTCGATACGACTGACCCTTGTGAAATACTGATACATTGCCTATAAAACTTGTCTCCAATCTATTAATAAACATAGCATATTATTGTATTGTATTTACATGATATAATATAGCAGCTTCAGAATTGTACCTTTATTAAATTGTACTTTATATGCTTTTCTAAAAGATCAAGTATATTCTTCTTACTTAGATATGATTCTTTAACGCGGTCAATAAAAACTGAATTTGGGAGCTTTTGTGCTGATTCTCTTGCAAAGGTAGGAAAATCAGGTATATTGTCTACATACGTATATCATTTAATACAAACAACACAAAAATAGATGCAATGATCAAAAATCTTATTACGAAACTGGTTAATATACCTTTTGAGTTGATATAATATTTATAAAATGAATGTATTTTATTACTCTTCTGGCAAACCACATCATATTTATGAATGGCATATTCACTCTGAAACAGAGAAAAATTATTTATCTTTTATCTATAAATTTCTTCGATGTTTATTAAAAGCATAAAAATGTAATTATAAATCGTATTAGACCAGTCATCAAAGGACATCTTGAAGATAAAAAAAGTTAGGTGACGCCTGGGTTGCTCGCGTAAGTTATTTATAAAAAAAAAATTTTTAATTATTTGCTATTACTACAGTATTTTCTTCTTGTTATTTTATGTACGTTATTACATAAGCACAACAATCTCGAATTAAATTCAGTTGGCCAATAATGACTTGTAAATCATGATTGCGATGATAAATATCATAAAATTTGTTCCGACAAACCAAATTTCATGATATTAATCGTTGCATGACCAATATCTTATAATTATAATTTAATTTTTGATGCAATTAGATTTTTTATATTTGCTTCTACAACCACCACATCGACACGTATTTTCTATGCTTTATGCGGTTAGTTTTATTTTGTTATTTTACTTTACATTATAAAATAGTTATATTAATAAGTTTATTTTATTTTAAAAATTAGAATTTGCAGTAAGGAAAGAATATTGGAACGAATTACACCAAGAGGTTCAAGAAATTAATAAACACTGTAATAACAAACTTAAATCTGATGATCCTCATAAAATGGTGAAATTGGATAGATTTGTTAAAGAAGCTTTAAGATTAAAAAATGATCTATTTAATTCGCTGCATTCATGTATTTATAAATCTCATTATACATTTGAAAATGGATATAAAGTTCCAAATGGTAATTTTCAGGATTGTAATCTTTTAATCTCAAAAACTATGATATATTTTCACTCTTTTCTTTAATTATTCAAAAGTATAGGTCAGTTTATCTTTGTAAACATTAAGACCTTATCTTTTAATAAAGAATATCGAGGACAGAATACCAAAGAATTCTATGCAGATCGACATATTCTCCCGCAACAAAATATGAATGTAATTACTTAGTATTTGTAAGTGGAAACATGCTTGTCTGGGTAGATTTTCGGCTACTAATGCAATTAAGACCATTTTACGCAAGATTATATTAAAATATAATATTAGAATTGAAAATGGGCAAATTATACCCAGAAAATTTTGGATCTTCTATTTTTCTGTCAAAATTGGTATTATATTTGAGAATAGTAAGTAATCTAAGCACACATAAAAATGTATTCGGATCTTATGAGTGATAAATTATGCAAACTAATTTTTCTTATTTGGAGAAGTTATAACAATAACTTCTTAAAAATATACTATAATCCTACTAACTTCTCTAAATAAGAATGGATTTTTGATTAGCTTTTAACAATTTTAAAATAATTTTTAATATATTCTTTTTTTATCATTCGTAATTTTATTTTTTTGAATAAGTATTTTAAACTACAATATATAAATAATATAAAAGTAAATAAAAATTATCAGCTAATTAACAAATACTTTCTATAAATTTAATAGTAATAATTATTTTACATTTTTTAATAAATTAAAAAATAGCAAGCATTTTCTTTAATTGTTATGCTAATAGTTAGGTACGTTCAAATGCCCGTAGGTAAATCTATCTCTACTCGCACGAAGTAATTAAATTCGTACGGATTATGTCTTGTGCTAGTTGGTTATTCTGATTCTAATTTACAACATTTTGCCAGCCATTTGAAATTAACGGATATGAGGCTAACATCTGAAATTTTCATCAGACCAATCTTCAAGATCAGAAGACAACCCGGATTCTGAATTTGCTTTAAGTCCTCTTAAACCTGTCGATTTTTAGCACTCTTCCTTCTTCTGCTTCAACCACTTCAGGAAGTCCGCATGTATTTTGCCATTACATCTGTTAATTACTTTCCTT